GCGTGTCCCCGGAGAGCCAAGAACAGGACTGTGGCAGCACTTGGGACATTCTAGGCCTGGAAACCCAGATTCCCTGAGAACCCTGTCTCTCTCATTTTTCATCTCCAGCCCAGACAGCACAAGAGATGGCAGCAGGCAACTCCTCTAAGATTTACCGTAGCTTCAGCCAGTCACTTCCCTACTTCCAGTCCCTGAACAGACCCCCGCCTGGACCATGTGATAGTAGCCAGAAGGAATATCACGTTATACTGTATGGAAAACCCCACAACAAGCCTGTCGGTTGGAGGTGGGTCTTTAGAAATTGGTGGACAGATGCTGGTGTGTTTCAAACACCAGGTAGCTATCATACAGACTTTTGACTGTTCTCTTACCTCAGTTTCAAAATGCTTCCAGCTTTCTGGGTTCAACCTTAAACACAACTTTGTCTGTAAAACCTTCATTGATCTCCACTCAGCCAAGTCTGAACTCTTTTTTAAAAATTTTCTTTGTGCTTTTCATTTTGCCTTATTTTATAGTAAGTTTACATGTCTGCAAAATGACAAGAGTAAGAATATAATAAAACTAACTCTAGATATTAAAATCAGATCAGAATGAAACTAATTCTAGAATTTTAAAATCAGTCCTATGCTACCTAGCTAGGACTGATGAAGCTGAAGTTCCAATATTTTGACCACTTGATGCAAAGAATCAATTCATTGGAAAAGATCCTGATGTTGGAAAAGATTGAGGGCAGGAGGAGAAGGGGGTGAGAGAGGATAAGATGATTGTATGGCATCATCGACATCATGAGTTTGAGCAAACTCCAGGAGATAGTGAAGGACAGGGAAGCCGGGCATGCTGCATTGCATGGGGTCAGAGAGTCAGACACAACTTAGCAATTGAACAACAACGATACCTAGCTAGGTGACTTTGGACAAGTTATTTCACATCTAAACTAGTTTCTTCATTAAAAAAAAGTCAAAGACACAGTAACTCACATGTTCTTGTGAGGATGGAAGACATTGTGTGGGAACTCTAGGCACAGAGCCTGGCTCAGTAGATACTCATGAATTGCTAGTTTTTTCTCTTCCCATTTCCCATGCTGGGCTCAAAAGTCCTTAAATTCAGAATTTTCCATTGTGCTTATTAAATGCCTTAATGGTAAGTAGGTCTTCATCAAATGTTTGTTGAATTGAATTCCTTTCAGATTGTCTTCTGAGCCAGATTTAACCAGTAGTACTAATACTCATGAGAGGTTGACTAAATCGCCACAATAACCCATGAGACTTTATTGTCTCTATTTTTACAGCTGAGAAAACAAGTGCAGTGAAGTTCAGAATTCGCTGGAAGTCCAGTCTGTGAAGTAGCAGGGTGAGGCGGTGGCTCCAGGGTCTTCCACCTCTAATCAGCCCAGCTAGTGGTTTCTTAGGGGCGGAAAACACGGCTACCATGAAACACTTCACATTAGTTACCTTTTTGTTTGAACTAGTTTACATTTTTCCTAGTAAACCAAACAAATGGTTGCTTGGCTTTCTTATTCCTTCAATGAAAAACTTCCAGGAGACTTAAAAGCTTCCTATGGCTGATGACATAGGGTTTCGTAGCTAGCACTAGTGGTAAAGATACATGGGTCCGATCCCTGGGTCAGGAGGATCCCTTGGAGGAAGAAATAGCAACCCACTCCAGGATTCTTGCCTGGAGAATCCCAGGGACAAAGAGAAGCCTGGCGGGCTACAGTCCTAGGGTCACAAAGAATTGGACACTACTGAAATGACTTAGCACACATGGCTGATGAAAATGGTCCCAGGATTTTTCCAAAACTACCAATAATCGCAGTTGAGCATGAAGGGCTGATAGAGGCTCCATACTGCCAACTCCTAGGGCCCTGGAACATTTGGGAGTTTCACCTGGTAGATTTCGAAGCTGGCTGCCTGCGTAGCAACACCACTTGCACATCTGTCCCAATAGGCAGCCCCAGGAACATGGGAAAAGTGAAAAATAGCTGTCCACTAAGAACAAGGTGAGAAATACTGACCTGAGCTCTTTATTCTTAGATAATTTCCAGTTATACTTCATTGCTGAAGCCTGATAACTTTGTTAATTTTTCATTTTTTAATTATGTACTTGGCTTTGTTAGGTCTTAGTTGGATCATGCAGGATCTTTCCTTGTAGCATATAGAATCTCTAGTTGTGGCTTGCAGGCTTAGCTGCTCCACGGCATATAGGATCTTAGATCCCCAACCAAGGAAGATCTTAACTCCCCAAAAAAGGATTGGACCCATGTCCCCTGCATTGCAGGGTGGATTCTTAGCCACTGGACCACCAGGGAAGTTTGTGTTAATCTCTTTATTATAGTTCACTCATCACCATGGGCTTCCCAAGTGGTGCTAGTGGTAAAGAGCCGGCCTGCCAGTGCAGAAGATGTAAGAGATGCAGGTTGGATCCCTGGGTTGGGAAGATACCCTGAAGGAGGACATGGCAGCTCACTCCCATACTGTTGTCTGGAGAATCCACAGACAGAGGAGCCTGGCAGGCTATGGTCCATAGGGTCGCAAAGAGTCAGACATTGCTGAAGGGACTTAGCACAAATGCATAGCAATCACCACCGAGTATCCAGATCACCTGTGCCAGGAATGACTTGGTAGGTGAGGGGGAAAACACAATGCGGAGAAGATCCAAGCAAACACTGACCACGTACTTGCATGGCAGCTGTGTTTCCAAGGTATATTCACACGTATTTTTCTTCCAAAAGATCCTCTCCTCACCTTTGTGGCGAGGACATAACAACATTATCTCCATTTTACATATGAAGGTACAGAGGTTCACAGCAGTGAAACCAACCAGCAATGCACATATGAATGTGTTATGACGGAGGTCTTCCATCTGACTCCCTACGCTTACACCATGATGTGTTTGGAGACAACAAGATGAAGCAGAAATTTCTGCTTGGTCATAGTTTGGAGAATAAATGAGGCTGATAAATACCCCGGGGAAAGAGGTACAGAAATGTACAGGAGAAACAGTGGGATCTGTTTGGCCAGGGAAGAATCTGAGTCTCCCCAAATTTGTGTCCTTCATGGGCCAACTCAGTGTTGGGGCTGAGAGAATGGGATCAGCCAGTCCCCAGGAGAGGGCAGAGGCAATCATTCTGTCCTGTTGCAATTCTAGTTTTCCTTCCTCCCCCCCATGTCACACACATCCTTTCACAGTCACCCTTGCATCCTCATCTGAAATTCAGTAATTGGGACTTCTGGTTGACTGAGAGGTATACACCAATAACAGCTGCTGCTGAAATTCCTCACATAAAAAAATCTTGTGCATGTAGATCCAGAATTTCAAGTTGAGCAAGTCTGTTTTTTCTTCACATTTAAAATTCCTTTATATCCTTTCTTTTCTGATTTAAAGTGACTCTGCTCTTTTGGGGCTTCCCAAGTGGCGCAACGATTCTGCCTGCCAACGCAGGAGACCGGGAAGACTGGGGTTCCATCCCTGGGCTGGGAAGATCCCCTGGAGGAGGAAACGGCAACCCACTCCAGTATTCTTGCCTTGGAAATCCACGGACAGAGGGGCTCCCTCTGCAGCCCATGGGGTTGCAGAGAGTCAGACATGATTTAGTGGCTGAGCAGACATGCACTGCTCTTTTCATGACTAAGTCTCCCTGCCTCTGCAATTTAGTTTTTTAGTCATTTAGTTATGTTTGGCAAAGAATATTTGAGAAAAATCTCTCAACAGAGTAGTGAATTTTATGAATCCTAAAATCTTATGTGTGAAAAAAAGGAAACAACAAATTTTTAATCAAAGTAAGCAATAATGACAGGTTTATTTAAAATTTCCAGTAGAGAAAACCCACTAGTTTTGGAATAAAAGTACTCAATGTATGAGAGCGTAAGTGAATATAAAAGATTAGCAGAAGAAAAACAAAACCAAACATAGTACAAAAAAAATTTTTTTTAAGTTTGAAATTGGTTTAAACAGGGATGTTCTTTAAATCCTCCAAATATTTAACAGGGTTACTAGGTTTGGCAAATAATTCACTTGAAAATTAAAGCCTACTTCTGTATTGTAAACTCCATAAAAGCTCCTTATTAAATTCAAGCAACTCCATTCAACTGGTATTGAAGTACATAGGCAGTCAATTTCAGAATAGAAGGAATTATTCATTTGCTCTCACAGTTACATGAATTAACCAGCTGCATAACTTTTTTTTTTTTTTTTTTTTTTGGGAGAGGATGAGATAGAAGATGCAAAAAAAAAAAAGGGATAAAATCTCTAAAAAATTGAAACACAGCAAAATTCAGACATTAGTTTGTTTCTTTAAAGCAACAAACTGAATTTTTACAGTATATTCTACATCTGTCGTTTCCCTCTCCCCCGCCCCCTTCAATACTGCTAAACCCACTAGTCTAATCAATTCTTAACTTTCAAATATTCTGTACATATATATTTAGCAAAGAGCGTATGTCTAACATTATTCTGACAGCATTATGGTCAGCATACAATTTTAGAAAGATTACTATGTATATCACCAAGATTAACCTTTACTTAAAAAACAAACAAAAACCTTTACTAAACGAATAGTTTTAAAATATTATGAAAACCCACGAAGAGAAGACTCCACGCAGGCTCTAAACCTGATAAAAACACACGTCAGAAAGACTATTAATGCTTAACTTCTGCCAAATGATGATCTTAAAGTGCCAAACACAAAAGACTTTTAGGATCGTTTTTCCAATAGGTGATTTGTCCCTGGCTTGGCCTTCTCTCCTTTAACTATACACAAAGTCCTGCTAAAAAGTATGCGTTTTAGTTGATTTTACAATCCAATGTTACAATGTAAACTAAACAGGTTCTTGATATCAACAGTGTGTTACCCCGGTTTTTCAATTTCTGAATCCAACAGTTGGTCACAGAGGTCAAGTATTGTCAAGGCTCCTTTGTCAGTTCAGATGGTTGTCTGACTCATCCATCCTTCAAGTACATGCGAGGCTCAATAGTTCTCCAGAGGCAGAAGCCTGAGGCGTTTAAGACACAGATGAAATAGGGTTATGAGGCGAGCCCATCTGGGTAAGAACTTTATCCAGCCACTGGAGGGGGCCGTGCAGATGGATCTCGATCCAGCAGGGGGTGCTAGTAACATCCTGGCGGTGGTATTCTGCTCCCCAGCCCTAGAAACAACAGCGGAAGTCACTGAACTTGCGTGACTCAGCGGTTCACCTTTACCGAGCAAAAGCAGCTCATACAACCAGACGCTCCGATCAGAGATATGGTTCTCTTCACAACACAGACGTGGACACATGATTCGGCAGACAATGTCACAGCTCCCCAAAGACCATATGTGGATTCCAGATTAAGCAGTAACGTCTTAGGGGACTTCCCTGGTGGTCCAGTGGTTAACACTCCACATTCCCACTGCAGGGGCCTCGGGCTGAATGGACCCCTGGTTGGGGAACTTATGATCCCGCATGTTATGCAGGATGGCCACAAAAAATTAAAAAAAAAAAAAAAAGAGAGTATGAGTCTCAGGGAATGAAAGTTTTAAACTACATTATTAAGTGTTAACCGCTCAGTCGCGTCCGACTCTTTGTGACCCCAAGGGCCGCAGCCCGCCAGGCTCTTCTGTCCAAGGAATTCTCCAGGTAAGAACACTGGAGCGGGTTGCCATTCCCTTCTCCAGGGGATCTTTCCAACCCAGGGATTGAATCCATGTCTCCTGCACTGCAGACAGATTCTCTGCCGTCTGAGCCACCACATAAGCCCAAACTACAATATAAGGCTGTTGTAATAGCCACTTTGTAGCTTTCAGTTTCATTGCCTGTTATGTTATTGATACTATGATGACAGGTATTATTAAATTCTTATCATCAAGAAAATAAGAAAAAAAAGGTATGTAAGACAAAGTGACATTCTGTTTCTCCCTACTCAGCCACTGACAGTTCCCTTGCAAACACAGAGCTCCTGACCTTTTGATCTCTAAGGGAATCTGGCAGAAGCACAGAAGTATCCAAAAATCTATTAGTAACACCTAACCAGTGACTCGGATCATTTGTACAAGAGGTTAGCTTGCCAGAGACCTTCAAGATTACTGAATTAGGACATAAAAGTTGACAGAAGAAAAGTCTCTATGAAAAAGAGAAAAATAATTTTGCTATTGCAAACACCAACCTTACAGGTGTGGTGGACGATGGCATATGAGATACTGATAAACCCTTGTTTCCTGAGAGATGTCAGAGAAGGCTGGGTTCTCTTTATCCATCTCAGGAATTTTAAGAGATGTATTTGAATATCAGAACTTTCAGAAGAAACTTGAAATATATGAACCGCATAGGTATAAACATCCATGCATCTGTACATATATCAACATACTGCTAATTTTAATTAAAAGATTTGTTTAAGTGCATGTTTCCTGCACTAGACAGTAAGTTCTTTGAAGGCACAGACTGGACCTCACTTACTTTTTATCTCAAACATCTAGCGCAGTGATTGGCACAAAGCAGAAGCTTTGGAGATGCTTGTTGAGCTGAAATGACTTAGAACTGTCAGATATGGGGAGTTTACTGTGCAAATAACTTATAAAATACATGTTTAAAGTCCAAAATTGGTCATCTTCACAAAATAGTACAAAATCGGCTATTAATATTATTGAAATGTTTTATATCCTTTCTCTAAGATGCTGAGGGAAAAGTATGTTGTGCTTATGCTAGTAAAGAACAAGGCTACAGTGATCACATTTTTTTGTTGCTAATGTAGTAAGTAGCTGCCCTTTATCATGTCAGCAAGAGGTTAAAATGTTTAACTCTCCAAATCTAGCTTCTCAGCCTTGTCCTTTATAGCTTGTATAACCCTTCATTCCAGTACTTATCAATTTACATTATAATTAAACAGACTGACGCCATCAGCATTTTGGAGCTAGAGACTTTAGGTGTTTTATCATCTTTGTATTGCTATTTTGGAATGGTGCTAAAAAAATGTTTGCAGAATGAATGAAATGCTAATCTATTTTTAATGCATATCTTTGATTATAAACACTTTTTATTAGTGTAAAGGTGGTTTTCACTTGTGAAAAGTAAATAATTAAAAATCTGTAAAAGTAAAATCATTAAAATTGATTGGGTAATCAATAAGAAATAAGTCTGAGAAGAAAGCCAACTGGAGCATTACAGTCATAAATTCTCCTAGAGTGGTCCTTTGATAATAATAATGGACTCATCAAGGGACTCCAGTTATGACTGAAGTTACCTAACTACAGCCACCCATTTTAAAGATAATGAACAGGGGGATCAGGAAGGAATCTCTGGGCCTTAATCACACGACAGACCTTAATCACATGACAGAATTAGAACATGGATCTTCATGTTTTATTTATTATATTTCCTCCCTATCAATAAAAAACAATAAACACAAACAATGCTGGCAAGTCACTGTTCTAATTTTAAAATTCACTTTAGTCAAAATGCTAAGTCAAAAATGAGGGACTTCCCTGGTGGTCCCTGATGCTGGGAAAGATTGGGGGCAGGAGGAGAAGGGGATGGCAGAGGATGAGATGGTTGGATGGCATCACCAACTCAATGGACATGAATTTGAGCAAACTCCGGGAGACAGAGGACAGGGAAGCCTGTCGAGATGCAGTCCAAGGGGTTGAAAAGAGTCGGACACAACTTAGTGACTGAAGAACTATAACTGGTGGTCCAGTGGTTAAGACTTTGCCTTCCAATGCAGGGGCTAAGGGTTCGATCCCTGGTCAGGAAGCTAAGATTCCACATGCCTCGTGACCCAAAAAACCAAATGATAAAACAGAAGCAATACTGTAACAAATTCAATAAAGATGTTAAAAATGGTTCAATTAAAAAAAAATAAAGTTTTAAATAAATTAAACCGTGCACATTAATAATGGATGAGAAAGCTCTTTGTAGTCTCATAGGTATACAGTATATAGGAAAACCTCTCTAAAAGGTAGGAAAACCTTCTTCAATACTTGAAAGGTACCAGACTTGGCTATAAGAAACTGCTGAATTATGTTTCAAGAAAACAAACACTAAGAGAACACAGTGAAACACTCCTAACATGACTCAGAGAAGTAGAGAAAAAACGATTTTCAGGGAAAGTTATCTTTGATGTAAAGGATGATTAACAAAGTAAGGTTCTGAAATTATCCTCTGTAATAAATTCATCACAGAACAGGTCTAACAACAAGTTCAGTGAGCTTCTGAGGAGAGGACATGAAAGGTGATTGCCTCGCCCAAATATATAATTAGTTTTGCTACTCAGGCTAACAGAGGAGGAAAACCTATGTTTGAGAATTCAGAGACAAGTCAGCCACAGTAAGTTGTTGCTGGTGGTGGTTTAGTCGCCAAGTCGTGTCTGACTCTCTTGTGACTGCACGGACTGAAGCCCGCCAGGTTCCTCTGTCCGTGAGATTTTCCAGGCAAGAACACTGGGGTGGGTTGCCATTTCCTCCTCCAGGGGATCTTCCTGACCTAGGGATTGAACCTGGGTCTCCTGCGTCGCAGGTGGATTCCTTACCACTGAGCTACCTACTGACTTATAAATTTAATCAGAGATTTGAACTTTTTTATACTTTGATGGCATCTTAAAATTTAGTTCTCAGAGGCAGAAGAAGAGGCAGCAAAAGAGGTCAATTCTAGTGAACAATGTCTATAACCTTCACCCTCCTCAAACCTAACAGCACCATCTTAGCGCTGAGGCAAGGGCCTTACTAAACCCTTAACTTATAACAAAATCACAAGCTTTGCTGGAACCACTAAAAAAAATCCTCGACCAATCAAACATAAATCCCAGTGTGATGAACTTTTGCTTTGAAAAAAAACTTTGACTCTACAAAAAAAATCACTTGCTTATTGCTAAAACAAAATCACCAAGTGTTTATCATCATAAAAATGCTAACAAATATAGAATTAAAAAAAAGAGGGGTGTGTTTATAGGATTGATCTCATAAGACAACCATGCATTTAGAGTATATATGTTATATATATAAAACATATTCTAATAATATTACAATAGATAAAATAGCGCTACTCAAATAAGGAAGTTTTTAAAAACCTGCTATTATTAACATTTAACACAAACATTCCTACATTCCAATGCTATTTTCCCAATAGTTGACATCTTAATAAAGGTTAAAATGGCTAGATAATAAGTTGGTGTCTACAGACATGTATCAAAAGGATACAGATTTACATATAATGCAGAAGTGCATTAAACCCTGACCAGAGGAATCAAAACCACTTACCTTCACAAAGCTCATGCGAATAGTACACATTTTTGTGAGCTCATAGACCGTCTCGAAGCCGTGGTTCACAGACTGTGCCAGTAGCTGAGCAAACTCTTGGTTATTAAAAATTTTCAAACTACACCCACTTGGGATCTTGCAAACAGTAGTGGGATGAAATCCGTGATGGTAGTTGCAGTTCCGACTTTGCACAAAAATACTACTGTCACTGAGGCATTCGGCATATACCTCACCTCCAACATAATAAAGATGAACTCCTGCAGGAAGACAAGCATACGGGGTGGTTATTATTGCTTTTCACAGCTGACAAGCATCGCTGTAGCTTCAGAATGTAAATTTACACGGTTATTAGATAAACATTCTCTAAGTCTTGCACAAATGATAAAATCTTAGTTAACAATATCAGTTAATACAAAGTCCATATGTCAACATGCATGTCTAGACAATTTCTAGAAAATATTTAATAACACAGCAAAGTGTGTTAACTGAAAAATCAGTTAACAGAGAGTAGCAATTTCATTTTGAAAAGCATTTAATGCCCTATTTGGCCATGGATTGAGAGCACAGTCTCACTTAAAAAATAAGAGCATGATAAAGCTGGACTTGATTATGGGATCCTACACATATTCATCACATAAGTTCTCTTGTATTTATTTTGCAGCTAAGCTATTCAAAAAATTTTAGGATAAGGAAAGGGAGGATCAAGAGGAGTAAAAAACCAGAAAACCACAGGTGGAGGAAGTATTGCTGAGAACTGAAAGAAGGAAAGGTCCAGGGAAAAAAGCCCAGAAAAAATCATTCAGGGTAGAATATGAACTCGCTGAATTATCATCTGCTCCAAACTTCTTCCGGTGATATCTTGAGTACCAGGAGTGTAGGAAATTGATCTTATCCAATCCTTAAAAAAAAATGAAAGGGGGGAAAAAAAAACACCACTCTGACAAAGCCCCATATCATTACAGGCCACCAAACAAAGAGTCACATCCCACGTGGCTTTCAACAGCGGACCTTGCAGGTAACTCTGGCAAGGCTTAGTCAGCGCCAAAACCATTGTCTCATCCAAAATACTGTGTGCTGTGTTTATAAGTATACACAATGGCTAAGATTCTTGTAACAATTACATTGCCGCTGGAGCAGAAGTCCATTTTTCTGTCTGATGTAGAGAAAACAATTTGAGGGTGTGTGTGTTTGTTTTTTTACTTTTTTCCTGATTATAAAACTGAGGAATTTTCATTTTAGAAAATTTAGAAAGTAAAGCAAAATATAAAGAAGCAGAAAACATGATCACTCTTTTAGTGGCCCAGAGGTAATAACTATGAATACACATCATTTCGGGTCTTGGGTATCACCAAACTTTCTTTGCAAACATTTAACACATTTCCATGACTGAATGAACACAACAATTTATTTAAAGGATTCTCCCATTACTGGACCTTCTGTCAATGCTAATTTTCTGTTATGATAACAATGTCATGATCAATGTTGCTGCATAATTCTTGATAATATCCTTAAGAGAGACTTCTGGAAGTTAAGTCATTGGATCGAAGGCTTTTGATTCACTTTGCCAGAGTGCTCGGGTGTCAATTTACATGTCTCCAGCAGCAGATGTGCACCTTTCTCATTTCACCCTTGCCAGTACTGAGTCTGAGTTTAAAACACAACAAAATTCCCCTAATTTATAGCTGGAAAACAATATTGTTCTAATTTGCACGTGAGTCTGGATATGTGCTCCTCTGCTTACAGAGTGGTGACCTGTGCTGTGTTTCTCTTGTGGATTTACTGTTCATATTTTTTACCTATTTATCCACTGGAGTTCCAGTATTTTAATATTTTTTATGAGCTGCACATATAGGAAAGATATAAATAATTTATTTCCTATTTGTTTCCCTGCTAGTCCTTTGTCTTTTAATTTTATTCATGCTATTGTTTTTCTTTGACCCACAGAAGTCTGAAATCTCTAAATAGACAAATCTCTTGTAAACTTTTCTGTTGCTTTTTATGCTTAGAAAATCTCTGCCTCTCTAATCAGCATGTTTTCTTCAAACTTTTCAATAGCTTGCCTTAAAATAATTCAACTCATTAACCCACCTGCATATGTGGAATGAGGTCAGGATTCGTACTCTTAGTCTCCCTGCAAAGCTAACTTTGTTATTACAGGACAGTTGAAACAGTCTACCAATTTGTTATGTTTTACCTAACACACATTAAACTTTTATATATAGTACAGTCTGAATTTATTTTATTCAGTTGCTTTGTCTACACACTAATTTAACTGTAGCTTCATAATCTTTTATTAACCCTAACCTCAAGATTCTTTTCTTTACTCCTCCATTAAAAAGTTTAGCTATTTTCACTAAATTATACCCAGGGATCCAACCCGAGTCTCTCAAATTGCAGGCAGATTCTTTACCATCTGAGTCACCAGGGAAGCCCCTTTAATACACACTTCCAGAAAATATGCATAATATACATCTTCCAACTTTCAAAAAACATCACACTGTGATTCTGACATGGATTGTTTTAAACTATGAATTAAATTAGGAAGAATTAGAATATCCTTATAATGCTCTCACAATATTAAGTCTTCTCTGTAAGGAACATCAACTGCCATTTATTTATTCAAATTTTCTCTCTCAGTTAAATTTAGTTTTCTTTATGTAATTCTCATATATCGCTGGTTCAGGTTATTTATGCATTCTGTTGCTACTTAAAATGTGATTTTTTTTCTCTCCATTATATTTTTCTAACTGGTTATTGCCATATTAAAGAAAACTGACATACAATTTCTAAAAATAGATTCTTCAGCAGTTTCTAGATAAACAATCCTATTATTTTATTAGACACAATCACCGTAAGTAATTTTGAATGAGTAAAAATGGAAAGACACTCATAAGTTTCTGGTATGACTGAAAATTAATAAAAACTTCCTGGAGAGTAATTTGGCAAAATACATCAAGAGTTTTTGGCCTTCTAATTTCACTTCAAAGCCGATCCCAAGAATATTATCAATCATATCATCTACAAATAATGGTAACTTGGCTTATTTCCATTATTTATAAATCTTCATTTGAGTGCTTCTAGTCAAGGCATCTGGAACAATTTTAGCAGCATTCTCAAAATCCATGTTTTCTTCCTAATTGTTATTAGGAATGTTCCAGAGTACAATGGCTTTTTACTACTGTGGAGTAATGGTCAACTTTAGAACGTAATGAAAAATATGTTCCTCTGTCCCAAATGCATGCAAAACTGTGTTTATATACAGTTTCAGGGGTTTACAGACCACAGGAAGATATCTATATGCTATGAACCTAAGTTCTGGCATTCCATCATTAAATGTGTAGTTTAGATTTTTTTTTTTGCCTTAACCATACTAAGGAACTATCTATCAATTCCTGCTTTAAGAGGAGTTATTTTTGTTTCCAGGATTAAATGCTCAACTGCATCTCCAATATCTTTTAAGGATCTATTAAATAACCTTTTAATTTGGTTTAAATTTCACAAGAGGTCATTTAAAAAGTTTTACTCTGGAAATAATTTCAAACTTATAGACACAGAACAAACAACAAAGAAAAACAGAACAAAGAACACCCATATAACCATTATCCAGATTCATCTGTTGTGACAATTTACTCCATATGTTCACCACGGGTACCACCCTCCATCTATTCTTCCACACACCCCCTCATATACACACACCCTCATATACACACACGTGTGTATATATTCTGACAGAGGACTCTCAGATGGATAGATGTCTCTCTCTATTGATCTATAAATATAAAAGACACATATGATTTCTTCCTGAACCATTTCATGATGGCCCTTTACCCCTATGTATTTCTTAAGAACAGGAGTCTTCTCTTACAAGCCACAGTACAGTTCGCAATGCCAGTGCACTTAACATTGATATACTGTGTCTATTCTTTCTACCACTCCTATTCTAACTTTGTCTGCTAACCCAAGAATAACCTTTGTAGTATTTTTTCCCTGTCTGGTACAGGATCATGTCCAGGGTCAGATTACTACAGAACTGTGCTATCTCACTAGCGTCTTTTAATTTGGAATATTCTCACATCTGTCTTTTGATATTGAGATTTTGGAAGAATACAGTCCCTCCTCACCCTTTTTAATACAGTGTTCCTCATCTGCGGTTTGTCTGAAGGTACCCTATGATTAGATTCAGATTTGCATTCTCAACTGGAATTCTCTGTGGGTGATGTTACCTCCTCACCAGGGAACCACAGCTGCAGACATGACAGCCATCTGTCTCTCACTGGTGATGGTTATTTTGATCACCTAGTCAAGTTGTTCTCCAATTTCTCCAGGATACAATAACTGATTTTTACTCTCCCTTGTAAGTAATAGGCAGTCTGTGAGGAGATACTTGAAAATCATACAAATACCCTGATTCTCATAAAAAAATTCTCGCTATACTTAGCATCCATTGACAATTCTTGCCTGATGGGCTGCAAAATGGAGACTTTCCACCAACTCACACTATATTTAGCCATCAGCTTTCGCCATTCATTTACTTACCTATTATTGCTATGGACTTATGAATTACTATTGTTCTCCAGTGGTTTAAAACTCATCACTGTATTTATTTAATTATTTCAGTGTTTCAATTATCCAAGTTGGCAGTGGAAATCACTCCAAGTTGGTTTCTGTGACATGTCTTCATCATGCGTACATATTTCTTTACTTTTGGACATAACAAAACATTCTACGCTCATCTTGTGCCCACCTGTTCCAGCCTTGAAATCAGCCCTTTCTCCAAAGGCTGGGTTCCTCTCTAGCAGCATGGTGTCAAGAAAAGATGATCTGATCACTGGATGTGCTTACTACTGCTGGGTATCTTTGCCTCTTGACCCTTTCAGCAATAAAACTTCCACAGGGTTTATTTTTTACCCTCCATCACGTCTCTTATACCACAGTGAAACCCAGGGTCCCCACAACATCCACACATTTAGTCACTTGCTTAATTTTATAATATGAATACATCTTAAAGTTTCATAACTGCTTCCTTCATTCAGCCACTAAATAATCAAGACTACTCAAGCGAGCTCAGGATATGTTTGTTGGCACTCTACCTTACCTGGCCGAGGCCAAGGATATGCAAGTACTATGTTAGTGTCGTTCAGTTGTGTCTGACTCTTTGCGACCCCATGGACTGCAACTCACCAGGCTCCTCTGTCTACGGGATTTCCCAGGCAAGAATACTGGAGTGGGCTGCCATTTCCTGCTCCAGGGGATCCTCCCAATCCTGGGAGTGAACCCAGGTCTCCTGCATTGCTACTATATTCATAAGTTATTCTGAATTTATTTTTCCCCAGTAAGTTAATGTATTCCACTTAAAATACATTAGAGTTTACTTGTTTGCATTTGCTTTTAGTTGTAGGTTGTAAAGAATTTTTAACAGCTATTTCGTCCTGCAGCAAAACATATGACAGAATAGTATCCCCAAATAGCACATCACAATTTCAACTAATTAAATAACAATTATGAGTCAGTAGACCACAAAAATCACTGATTGGGAAATGAACTTCCTGATGACACAAATTAAAAAACTATTTAGAAACTGGAGCAGGTGCATATTATCTGGCGTTGGCTCCAAGAATGACTGTCGTTCGGTTCTGGGGGAAGGAGAATACGGCAGACAGACGTTCAAGGGAAGCTCCAGTGAAGGCTCACCTTTCCCGATGTGCCGCCTGGTGTTTTCGATGGTGGAATTCCGGTTAACGTTGGAGAGCAGCCCGAGGCAGAAGCGGTTCTTGTTGTTGGAAGGATCGGTGAAACCATCCACCAGCACGCTCGTGGAGGAGGCGTGGAACGCTTCGCCCACACGATTGTTGAGCTCGTAGTAGACAATAGAGCACCAGTGTTTCGGTTCCTCATAAGCAACTGCTTGAACATCTGTAAGAAAGGAAAGCTTAGAGTCAGCCACGAGGAGTGCCCTGGGCGTTTGAAAACTGAAACTGTGGCGTAAAGTTGGCTCAGGGTCATGGAATGAAGATGTGACACAGCCACCACTATTATCAGGTACAGAGTTCATCTCTGATCTCGGAAGCAGGGACTCCTTGCTAAATGGGGCATTCACCTTTCATTGGAAGATAATTTTCTCTGATGGCTGTTGGATCAACAAGACGACAGCTAAGCACTCCAGCAGTATGGCTGGACACTCCCAGGACACTGCTGGCTTTATAATTTGCCAAAATGGAAATGACCCCACCACTGACCCTGGCTCACCATCTAAAGAAAGGCAACAAGTGGCAAGTGAAAAAAAAACAAGTGGGGAGAGAACAATAGAGGACAGGAAATATGCCAAAGGTGCTGGCACAAAAAAGGAATGACTCCGGACAACACCTCAGTATGCCGATGCTTTTTCAAAGCAATGAAAAATCAGTTTCTAATTATTGATAAGAAGTTACTTGACTTCACGCTGCCAATAACTCTCACAGTTACAGCCTTGCTCCAGTCCTCAAACTCAGGAAGAAATCTTGCCAGCTGGCCATTCTTCCTGGATGAATCATATCTCTCTCACCCAGATTTCATGCTAACTTCCTTATATTTGCTTTAAGTCATGCAGAGCAGGTGTGTTTTGTCTCTCCATTCCCAGAATGGGCCAACAATGGAAATTACCCAACTTTACTGACAGGATGCAGCTTGTTAAGTCAAATCTCTTAAGACTAACAAATCTCCAAACAGAACATACTTCTAAACATTTGCAACTAAAAGGTTCTAAAGATAAGTTCCTTCTGCAGTAAAACCTCTTATATCACTGCTTTAGAGATTCCAGGAATACAAACCATATATTTCCACTGTGTCAATATGTAATGATCTGAAGTTTTTTATGAAGCCTGGAGTATACAATCATTAAAAAAAAAAAAAAGAAAATCCATGTTGGAAGCATGAACTCTGTTAAAGGAGAATGACCTCTGTGTTCTGAACATCAACCTCAATGAATATTAAAATGCCCTTTACTTTAGAATACAGTAAAGAAATTAAGAAAAGTAATCATTAAAAAATCCTTCCATACATTAGCTGCTTTATACACCTAAGCAGGTGAGTTGAAAACAAACACCATCTTCCATGATTGCTACGTGTCATCCCATGTCAATCAGCTGTTATGTCAACTAGCAAGGTTCGTTCAGATTTACAGGTGCCAAATCTTAAAGAAGGCTGCAACGTCATTAAAAGAAGGCTTTAATCAGCTACCAGGATCAAAGTACTATTCACCTAGCTTGGAGACTGACAGTTTTCTTCTGTAAAAGGCCAGTAAGGTCTTAAGAGGCCACATGGCCTCTGTGGCCGCTGTTCAACTGTGCCCTAGCTGTGGGAAAATGGTCACAGATAATATGTAATGAACAAACATGGCTATGTCCCAATAAAGCTTTATTTATACAAATAGGCAGCAGGCTGATGTGGCCTGTGGGTTGCAGTGTGCTGATCCCCTGCTCCAGGAAAACCACCAAGGTTCAACAAAGCCAGCAGTCCTTAGAAAAACATTAACTGTAAACTTACTTTCTAATGGGGAAGCAATTTTAAGCCATTTAAAGGAAAAATCTGAAAGCCGATTAAAGGTCTGTTTTCCGAAATCAGACAGCATGGGCTTAACAACCGTGGCCACAAGTCAACATGCTCGTAACTGTTTCAGGCTGTGCCCCTTCTCTTCTGTTCCCCAAATACACATTCCAAAGCTGTGTGAGACAGCAGTGATTTTCCCCAACCAGAATCTTTGTCAGCTCATAATTATATGTTTGAGAGGATGCTTCACAGATTATCAAAATCCAGAGTCAGTAAAAAAATGAAACACATAGCCAATAAAAAAGATATAAGAAATGTTTACACCTTAAAAAGGTGTAACTTCCAATTTATTGCACTGCACATTGAAGGAAAGTTCTCTGAGTTCATCATCAACTTTGAAAAACTTAAAGAATATCAGCAACTTCTGACAAAGTCTGAGGTTATTTCCAGTCCTTTACTTAAAAAAGTGCTAACAATGAAATAAGACATACCTACTAATGAACTTCTATTTTAACTTCAATTTGCATCGTTGTTGTTTAGTCACTAAGTCGTGTCAGACTCTCTGTGACCTCACGGACTGTAGCCTGCCAGGCTCCTCTGTCCGTGGAATTCTCCAGGCAAGAATACTGGAGTGGGTTGCCATTTCCTACTTGAGGGTATCTTCCCAACCCAGGTACTGAACCCGTGTCTCCTTCATTGTAGGCAGATTCTTTACCCCTGAGCCACCTGAGAAGTCCTTCAATTTCTATTAATTGAACCATGCACGCAGGGAACAAATGCTATTAGTTTTGTTCAGCTGCCACAATGCTAGATGAGGGCCAGAAAGAAGATGGGGCTTATGAATATTTGTCCTGACAACAAAAGAAGCTTTTGGAAAGCTTGTTATATGAACTTTTCATTTTGGAAATCACCAGTGAAAACTCTACTTCAATTTTATACTGACTTTCCCCCCTCCTCAACATCCCTTTGTCTTTCACTTAAAAATATTCTTTTATAATCAATTTGGAAGTATTAAGTACTAAGGCTCTAAACAGATGGCTGCACAATTATATTTAGACTTTCATTAGCTAAATCGGTATGTCTGTTCTTCATATAAAAGGCTTATTTGTAATCCAAGGAATCTTTCTACTAAAATTCTCTTACTGTAAGTGCTCTTTTTCAAACAGCTATCTTTTTCAAGACTAATAAAAATTTGTGAGAGAAAGCAACATTTGGACCAAGAACTTCAGACTCTAAAAAGAGAATAAGCAGCAATTTATCTTACCTCCTCTGTTGATTTCTGAGGGCAGAGAAGGCGCCATCATATTTGTGTCCATAGGTTGAGAGCCATCCTGGGTCATAGGGTCTTCAGGGGGCAGGTAAGCAGGTGGGGGTGTATCTGCTACAAAATTTGGAAAAAAAAAAAGACTTGTTTATCCTTAGTAAGCACACAAGCACACAAGCTTAAAACATATATTCTCTTCCACGGCGAAATTCTTAAGAAATTAAGTGGCCACTTCACCCTCCCCATCTGAAGACTGGATGATACAGACATTGGGCTTGGTGTATGCTTTTTGAAAATGGCTACCATCTCATATTCTTATATGACTGTAGTGAAAATTCAGTGGGAGGAAAGCATCGTATACCAGTTTTAGAAGCTGTCTGCTTACCCAGAATCACTCCTTTTTAAAACAATCAGATGAGCATTTAAACGTGCTTGCACACAACCCACTTTCAAAGGACCTCTGCATTTTGTCATTTCCCTGGTGGATGGAAAACTTTTGAAAGCTACACAGGACTTCTTCAGAAAAGGAGCTTCAGGGTCTCATGCACTAAATCTATGGGCTCTTAGGAATTTACCAACTGAGTTTCATGAAAGCCAACTTACTGACTCAAACTGTGAATTTCCATGACTTCAAGAAGTCTGCTAGGACCACCTAACTTCCTATCCACTCCTATCACTAGCCTCTAGCAGCAGAATAAGAGGAAATAAATCAGTTTGTCAAACAATCATCTATTTCAGAATTTTTGTACACATTTCTTCTGGAAAGTTCACAATCAACTGGCAAATAAGACAGAAACAACGTGATTTTTGAAACAACACTAACACAAGTCTTGTGCTTTCACATTTTTCACTTTTAATTTTTTTTTGATGTGGACCAATTTTTAAGTCTTTACTAAATTTGTTACGATATTGCTTCTGTTTCATGTTTTGGTTTTTTTGGCCATGAGGGGGATGTGGGATCTCAGCTCCCCAACCAGGTATTAAACCTGCAGCCCCTGCACAGAAAGGCAAAGTTTTAACCACTGGACCCCCAGGGAAGTCCCAGTCTTGTACTTTCTTAAGTAAAACAAAGGGTATGGCTTTCCCACAAATAATCCTGTGATGGAAAAACAAGTTCCTCAAGGGCCATGGCGAGCCCATGGTACCATCTAGCACATACGACAGAGTTTTACCTTAACCCGTAGCCTGGATGAGTAGTTGACACTACTCAGGGCAACCGCCAAAGAGAAAAAGCCAACACGGCTCTTGCAGAGTTTCTCAGTGATTTCCCAGAACGACTCCCCCGCTGAATCACACCCTGGCCACTTCCACTGTCTCCCCAACCCCCACCCCCTCAACCCCCAGCTGCTAGGAGCTAGGCCCCAGAGCACAGAGACAGGACCCCGGGGACCTGATCCGGATGCCTTTCCTACCCTTTCTACAGCTTTTTAAAATTCAGCTTCTTCTCTGCAGCTGTAACACTGCCTCTGTTTTATTTCCAGCCAAAAACGAAGACAAAGAGCCTCCTCTGAGACCAAATCCAATAAATTTCTGCAAGCAGGCTGGTGAAAACTTCATCAACCCCCTGTGGCATCAGCTCCGGTGGGAAGGACCGGATACCATGGGTGATGCTCTGCTCTCTCCATGAGGCCCTCCTCCCACCCCTTCAGCTTTCTCTGCTCCAAGTTTTCTCTACTCGGCCTGGGCCTTAATCCCTGACAGCCAGGGACAAGGTGTAAATTCACGCAATAATCTTCAGTAGTTTCCACTCCTGGGGCTACCCTGAGTCTGCCACTGCTTCAAAGCTGCCCCAAACAATCTCCTTGCCTCCAACCTGTTCCTCAAACTCAACAGGTCCAGGAGGGGACAGGAAATCACCAGATGATATGAGTTGGATTTTGAAATAAATCTATCTCCCATCCTCATCTTAAACAGTTTCTGATTGAAAAACAGGCAAGTTCAATATAAACAGGTTTAAAATGTAAAAAAGCACTAAATACCTAAATAAAAGATATGAATATCAAGTATGGGCCACTTTTCAATTTTTGAGAAGACACTAGCTATGCTATCAGATTCAAATTTGCCCCCAAACATTTCAATATGTTAAACATGCTTGCCCACTCCTTTTCCCTTCTTGAAATGTTAATAGATATGAAGTGTATCTTTGCTTAATGTACCCTCTGTGAGGCTGACTGGCTAGAAATCTGGCACTAATCATTTTTATTGTTCTGAGATGCTGGCTTATTAACCTATAACTCGAAAAATATAATGTCCTAATTAATCATTTAATTGACAGACATTACACCCTCAGAGAAGGCTACAAAAGGATAATGGTCTTTTGTCTTTGCTAAGTTAAACAAGCAGATGGTTTCCAGTACTTCTGTTGCAAGTCCTTTGTTGTTCAAGTGTATGTTTCTCAGGATTACATCACCACTTAAACGAATTTAATTAAGTGTGGGGGGTGTGTGTGTGTGTGTGAGATCCCCCAGGAAATATCTTTTCTGAGGTTGCGCTTATGACAGGGTTTTTTTTTCCCCTTGCATGAAAACAGCAAATGTGTTTGGTGTGCTATTTTTTTTCCGCTCGCTTTTATCAAGAGCAAAGGCTGGAACAACCATGCCACTCCCAGAAGGATGCAGCTGTTTCAAAACCTTCCAAAAATCAAACACGAAAACATATTCAAGCATCTGTGCTGGACAAATAAAACACCGCCTTGCTTGGCTACGAGGTGTCTCCTTTCATTCAAAGTTGTATCCTGCATTTTAGAGCACCGTGCCATTGTCCCAAGGCTTGCGAGCTCTCCCCGTTCCAGGAAACCCGGCTTCTCCACGGCACTGTGATGATGCGTCTCACTGACCACAGAACATCACCGAACGCGGCAACCTACCTGGCATCTGGAAGGGGCTTCCTGGGTCTGAGCTGGTCGGAGAGTGAGGGTACGTGCTGCTGCTGCTTCCAGGAGAGTTGGGGTAACTGCTGTTGGGAGAATGAGGAAACGGATGGCTGCTGGGCTGCTGGAAAGAATCCGGGAAGGTGGCGTTGAGCGGCATGTGAGGCTCGTTCTGCCCTAGGTTGCGGAACTGCGCTAAGAGGCTGTGCTGAGGATTGTATTCACTGTGTCTTGGAACCAGTACTGGAGGAAGAACTGGAAAGGGGGCAAGGGCAAAAAAAAAAAAAGAGTACAAAATCAGAATGATGAAAAGCTTTTAATAAGGTCACACTGAAACACAACAAAGTTGAAACATAATCTATAAGTCACAACAAGTTATTTGAACCTTGTTGTGCTGCCAATTCAAAAGCACCATTCAAATGAAAAGCCATTTCCCACTCGGGAACAAATGCGGTAAAAACGATGGTCTGCTCAGAATCACTGACGGCCTAGCCAGAGAGCCGCAGCATCAACAGAGTGCCCAGACAAAGTCCGCAAAATACACTCTTACGTGAAAAATGTTAAAAGTTCCCTGATTCTTAATTTTCTCACCCACTAGAAACCAAGGCACAGCTAAGAACATACATCGCCATCGACAAGTCCAGTTTACCGCCCTGGCGGAAAAGGGAGGTAACTCTTAACTCTGTCACACTTAAGAGTTAATAATATTTACTGAATGCTGTGAATTAGTCACCACAAACATTTTAAAATTAAGTCTTTATTGAGTCTGTTACAATATTGCTTCTGTTTTGATTTTTTTGGCTGCGAGGCACGTGGGATCTTGATCCCTCACCAGGGACCGAACCTGTGCCCCTTGCATTTGAAGGCAAAATCCCAGCCACTGGACCAGCAGGGTGGTCCCTACTCACCACAGATGTTTTAAATGGACACGTTAGCTCACTTTAAACCACAGAAAGTGTGCTAATAGTAACTAAAGTTGAGAGGGTACATACAATGAGCAGTATAAAATCCAAACGCCAGTGAAGATAATTAATTAGATAAAATATGATGTTTGGGGGACAGACTTCATAGTGTGTCCTAGTAGTCACACTTCATGAACACCTTCCTCTAAGGACCTGAATGTATTTGCCACTTCTCAGCAATCCTTATCACTACCTGATAGGCAAAGGAAGCAATACAATCTGCATTTTACCTACTGAATGCCCAAGGTACAAAGGTCCAAAAAATGCACGCACTAGTAGAGAAGGAAATAAGACAAGTCAAATCACTCCCCAAAGCTCCGTGTGTTAGGAACCTAAGGAGTCAATAACTAGCATGGTGGTTCTCAATCTCCAGAAAACTCCAGAGCCAAAGCCACCACAAGGGCGATAAGAAGGGAAGGGATGCGCCAGCTACCAGAACCCTAGCTGGGTTTTCCTAAGCTTCTTGCAGGGTCACCAGACGGCTCCTCCCCAATAACACAGGGTCCTGGAATCCCCACTGCTCTTGTGGCCTTGGTTAAAAGGAGAAAAATAGGCCATCTGGTAAGCTTCACGAGAGGGAAAGCAGGAGATTTAAAATCTGTTATTGCTGTTGGGAGTTAGGACTCAGAATACATTTCCCCCAAGAAATCGTATTTAGTGGCATTAGGAATTAAGCATATTTTTGAGGACCTTCCAGTCAATCTACCCATGGCTTATACCATTTCTACAGGAAAAAGTGCTCTTAACACTTGGATTGTAACTGATTCATGAGCTGAAAATTGTTTAAGTAAAAATCGGTTTCTGAAGGTGTTAAAAGGTCTCATATGCTGTATCGTAAAGGTCTCCACAATCCTCCATAAGATTCACTGATTTCCCTACAATTTTATCCCTTAGAAACAAATCTTTTTGGTGTAATAAATGTATTTCCTTTTTCACACAGTGATGGAGTTTGTCTGAATCAAAAGCATAATTGTTACTTATAATGGAAAAGAATCTAAAAAAGAATGTGTGTGTGTGTATATGTATGTATATGGCAGAATCACTTTGCTGTATATCTGAAACGAGCATAACACCGAAATCAACTATACTCCAATTAAGAAAAAAAAAACCCACAAAGAGAAAAAAAGTAAGATGAAAAGACATAATTCTTCCTTTTACCTTTCAGTAATCACTTGAAATGTAAACTACTTTGGTTGAAGAAAAAGTTCCCAATAGTCATAAGCATTTTCCCAACACCAACAGAAATCTATTGGGTTGGTTAGAAGGTTCGAGTTTTTCTATAAGATGAACATTTTGGTCAACCCAATATATTCTAAATTAAGACACATGCCCTGAACTAGTGCAATATCTTTAAATTACCTACACAATCAAACACTTTCCCTTTTTCTTTCAGCTGTTACAACTTGAATTACCGCTTCCCAATTTGCCTTTATAGTCACTATTCTGATGCTTACCTTTAACAGCTAGAAAATACTGGCCTCTAAACCCTCCTTAGAAAGCATCACTACCAACAAAGCTAGTGGAGGTGATGGAATTCCAGTCGAGCTATTTCAAATCCTGAAAGATGATGCTGTGAAAGTACTGCACTCAATATGCCAGCAAATTTGGAAAACTCAGCAGTGGCCACAGGACTGGAAAAGGTCAGTTTTCATTCCAATCCCTAAGAAAGGCAATCCCAAAGACTGCTCAAACTACCGCACAATTGCACTCATCTCACACGCTAGTAAAGTAATGCTCAAAATTCTCCAAGCCAGGCTTCAGCAATATGTGAACCGAGAACTTCCAGATGTTCAAGCTGGTTTTAGAAAAGGCTGAGGAACCAGAGATCAAACTGCCAATATCCGCTGGATAATCAAAAAACAAAGAGAGTTCCAGAAAAACATCTATTTCTGCTTTATTGACTACGCCAAAGCCTTCGACTGTGTGGATCACAATAAACTGTGGAAAATTCTGAAAGAGATGGGAATACCAGACCACCTGACCTGCCTCTTGAGAAACCTATATGCAGGTCAGGAAGCAACAGTTAGAACTGGACATGGAACAACAGACTGGTTCCAAATAGGAAAAGGAGGACGTCAAGGCTGTATATTCACCCTGCTTATTTAACTTCTATGCAGAGTACATCATGAGAAACGCTGGGCTGGAGGAAGCACAGGCTGGAATCAAAATTGCTGGGAGAAATATCAATAACCTCAGACATGCAGATGACACCACCCTTATGGGAGAAAGTGAAGAGGAACAAAAAAGACTCTTGATGAAAGTGAAAGAGGAGAGTGAAAAAGTTGGCTTAAAGCTCAACATTCAGGAAACTAAGATCATGGCATCTGGTCCCATCACCTCATGGGAAATAGATGGGGAGACAGTGAAAACAGTGTCAGACTTTATATTTTGGGGCTCTAAAATCACTGCAGATGGTGACTGCAGCCATGAAATTAAAAGACGCTTACTCCTTGGAAGGAAAGTTATGACCAACTTACATAGCATATTAAAAAGCAGAGACATTACTTTGCCAACAAAGGTCCGTCTGGTCAAGGCTATGGTTTTTCCAGTGGTCATGCATGGATGTGAGAGTTGGACTGTGAGGAAAGCTGAGCACCAAAAAATTGATGCTTTTGAACTGCGGTGTTGGAGAAGACTCTTGAGAGTCCCTTGGACTGCAAGGAGATCCAACCAGTCCATCCTAAAGGAGATCAGTCCTGGGTGTTCATTGGAAGGACTGATGCTGATGCTGAAACTCCAATACTTTGGCCACCTCATGTGAAGAGTTGACTCATTGGAAAAGACCCTGATGCTGGGAGGGATTGGGGGCAGGAGGAGAAGGGGATGACAGAGGGTGAGATGGCTGGATGGCATCACCGACTCGATGGGCATGAGTTTGAGTGAACTCCAGGAGCTGGTGATGGACAGGGAGTCCTGGTGTGCTGCGATTCATGGGGTCACAAAGAGTCGGACACAACTGAGCGACTGAACTGAACTGAACTGAACCCTCCTACCAACAGGAGCACCAGACAGCAACAGAAAATCAGCTCTCCATCTCTCTTCTCTCACCCTCCCCACCCCACCTTACATGGGCTCCTGTTTCAGCGACTCCTATTGCCTAACGGTTTTAGAATTGGGCATTTCCTTCCCCGTTGCCTGCAGATGACAGCAGCAGGGGAAGGCCATGTATTTCTGCACCTCCGGTGGATGCTCTGCACACGTGCCCCCGTGTACCTGCTGTCTGGCTCTAAAGCTCAGGTCTGCCCTTGGTGTACACCACAGGTGAGATCAATCAGCTTTTGTGACCTCGGAAGTGAACCACCAGCTATAACAAAGCAGCACTCTACAGATGAACTTGACAAGATCGATACCCTTTTCCTCACTTCTCAGAATTAAAAGGTGAGATGATTTTGCCACTCCTGATGTAGGTACAGGTATATTTTAATGAACTTAAAAAAGGTACTGGGGTATCACACATCTATAGTAAAATGTAACCATATAACTGGAATCATATACACCCTTGTGTCTGGCTTTAGCTCAACATGCTGCTTGTATGATCCATCCAGTGCTGTGTGCAACACCTCATTATATGCACATATTACAATTCACTCAGCCTGCCCATCTAACCTCCTCAGAGCATAATCTATTTCATTTTTTTTTCTGATTCCTGTGCATCTTCTTGAGGAAATCAGAAGATAAATGTTTGCTTTCTTATTTCATCTTTATTACTAAAAAGAAAGGCAGCCTCTGCACTTTGCTTTTTTCAACTGTTTGCTGTTGTTGAGTCACTGAGTCGTGTCCTGCTCTTTGAGACCCCATGGAGTTGCGCTTGGCTTCCCTGTCCTTCACTATCTCCTGGGGTTTGCTCAGATTCGCATCCATTGAGTCTGTGATGCTATCTAACCATTTCATCCTCTTCTCCTTTGGCCTTCAATCTTTCCCAGTATCTTTACCAGTGACATGGCTCTTAGCATATTTTAGAATTAACTTCATACTACCTATAGAGATCTTCCCAATTTGTTTTTATAGCTAACAGTACCATAGTTTATTCAACCTGTCTCCTATATCTGGGCATTTAGGTAGTTTGCAATATTTTAACCATTATATACAATACTGCAATGAATAACGCCATGCATATACTATAGTACTGTTAAAGGTGTATCCTCAAAGTGGAATTACTGTGTGAAAGGGTAAATACAGATATAATTTGGTTATCATCAAGTATCCATGCATAGGAGTTGTACCATTTTGCATAGCTACAAGCAACAAATGAAAATGATTTTTCCCCCAAAGTCTCCTGAACAGACTATTTTG